CAACTGATGGGAACAGATCCATTTTTTGGAACTCATTCCAAAGAAAGGTTACCCAACAGAATGCCTAAATGATAGAACTATATTACTGATAGATCTTATACAAGTAAAATGTTGTTGAAAATCATCCAACAGCAGTCGTAGCAGTACACTGACAGGGTTCATGCCAGAGGTTCATGCCAGATTCAGAAGAGGATGGGGAACAAGGGATATCATTGTTGATTTCAGATGAATCTTGGCTCAAAGCAGAGCATACCAGAAAGAGGTTTACTTGTGTTTCATTGACTATCCATAGGCATTTGACTGTGTGGGTCATAATGAACTGTGGACAGCCTTCAGAAGAATGGGAATTCCAGAACACTTAATTGAGCTCACGAGTAATGTATAGATGGACTAAAAGGCAGTTGTATGAACAGATCAAGGGAATACTGTATGTTTTAATACCAGGAAGGTTTGTGTTAGGGTTGTATCCTCTCACTGTACTTATTCAGTCTGTAATCTGAGCAAATAATCAGAGAATATGGCTTATATGAAGAAGAACTCGGCATCAGGGTTGGAAGAAAGCTTATTAGCCTGTGAAATGCAGGTAACAAAATTTTGCTTGCTGAAAGTAAGGAGGACTTGAAGCACTTGCTGATGAAGATCAAGGATCAAAACTTCCAATATGGATTACAACTCATTGCAAAGAAATCTAAAATCCTCACAACTATACCAATAGGTAACATTATGATAAATGGAGAAAAAAGTTGAAGTTGTCAAGGATTTCATCTTGCTTGGATCCATAATCAATATTTATGGAAGCAGGAGTCAACAGAAAACTCGATGCATTGCATTGGATAATGTACAAGACCTCTTTAAAATGTAGAGAAGCAAGGATGTTACTTTGAGGACTGAAGTGCACCTGACACAAGCTATGGTATTTCCAATTGCCTCATATGAATGTGAAAGTTTGACATTGAATCAGGAAGATGGAAGAAAGAAAGAAAAATCGATGCCTTTGAACTGTGGTGGCAGCGAAGAATATTGACAGTACCATGGACTGCCAAAAGAGCCAACAGATGTGTCTTGGAAGAAGTACAGCCAGAATGCTGTACTAAGGGCAGATGGTGAGACTTTGTTTCATGTACTTCGGACATGTTTTCAGGAGAGACCAGTCCCAGAAGATGGATATCATGCTTCATAGAAGGGCAGTGAAAAGGAGAGGTCTCTTGACAAGATGGATGGACACAGAGGCTACAACACTGAGTTGAAACACAAGAACAGTTGTGTGGATGGTCCAGGACCAGGGGGTGTTTCTTTTGCACATGGGGTTGCTATGCATCGGGATGGACTGGATGGCGCCCACCAACAGCAGCCATGACAACAACCATGACATCCATGTGGTTTTCATTTTCACCACAAGGAATAGTTCATTTTATCCATCTTATTGCTCATTAAACACTTAACGAAATGGATTGTTCAAGGATTTCTGTCCTTTTTCTTGAGCAACTTGCAAACCACAAGTGAGCAGCTTGCCCCAAATAAGTACATGCGTTGTTACTTTTACTGTTTTCTCTCTTTGATCCCAAACCCAACCCACTACTTTGATGCAGATGGTGCGACTCTGCAGGATGGGTAGAACTTCCCCATGGAGTTTCTAAGGTTGTAATCTTTAGGGAAGGGAGCCCTGGTGCTATGTGTGCAAGTGTGTTAGGTATGATAGAGGCACAAGGTCGGAGGCACAAATCCACTAGCCACCCTGAGGGAGAAATATGAGGTTTATAGTCTTGTAAATCCTAAATAGGGTCACTATGGATCAGACTCAACTTGATGGTAGTGGGCTTGGTTTACTTTTAATCGTTACAGACACAGATTGACACACCTTCTCTCATGGAGCCCCTGCTGGGTTTAAACGAGCGAGCGACCTTATGTTTAGTAGCTGAGTGCATAACCATTGCTAGGGAAGCAGAACTCTCCACCATGAGGAAAGATGAAAACTTGTGGGGAAGAAAAAGAAGCAGTTTGGCTTCATCCTTCCTAGCTGAGAGCTTTCCAATGCAAGCATGATAAGAAAGCATCCATTTTCCACAGTCACAAGTTTGGGTTGCCTTGTCAGTTCTCTGGAATCACCTTGTGTGTATCAGAAACTTGTTCTAGGTCAGGAGACAGGAGAGGGAATTTCTGCAAGAGTCTTCTCTGGCTGTTGCTTTTGTCTTTAGTAAAGAGTATTGAAGAGTAAAATGGAAAACTTACTCCAGGAAAAAAATTAGCCTATTCAAAAGAGGAGAGGTGGCATTCAAATTATTAACAAATAAAAAAATCCAATTCATAAGCTCCTTCATGCAGACATGAATTGGAAAGAACGGGGGCTGGGGGGTTTGGGGGGTGCTATCTGGAGATTAAATGAGTACAGTACAGAGGACATGCCAGAGGAGAAACCATAAACCCGGCAAAACGTCTGAGCAGCTCAGAAAGTCAGCCTTCAACTGCAAGGAGGGCATGGATCCATTTTCAGAGTGCGATGAGCTGATAAGCTCATGTTGGAGCTCATGTCAGTTTCCTTGGAAGAGTGGAAACTAATGCTCCGAGTTTCCTTCCTAGCTGATATGGCCAAACACTTTCTACAGCAGGGCCAAGGCACCGAGAGCCTATGCAATAAATATTAACTATCTCTCAGGATTGGATAGGTCTGAAAAAGGAAATACTTAAGAAGCACTGACTTCATGATCAGGCTTTAAATCATTGTAGCACTTTATGCTGCTTGATCTTCGTCATGTGACTTCTCTCTAGATTGTAATTTTCTCATCTGTAAAATGGGGTTAATAATGTTACCTCCTTTACCAATGTGTTATGGAAATTAAGTGAGATAAAGCGTTTAGTATAGTGTCTGGTAACCAATAAATATTCAACAAATGGTAGCTAATAATAATAACTATAATACAGGATTACCTTCCATCATGGATTCTACGTAATGAATATTGTTGAGGTTTGGGGCACTGATTTATTAAATAAAAAGATGAGCATCTATTGTGTACCAGGTAATGTGCTAAGTGTAGGGGAGATTTGGGCATAAGATAGGACTTCTTGGAGCCCAAACGCTGGGGCAATGAAGAACAGGAAAGACAAAACTGGATTGCCAACTTCGAAAGTAAGAGGTGAGAGAGCTGCCAAGATATTTCAGAGCTTTCTAGCATTCTCAGAGAGCACAAGTGCTTGTCCCTTGTTCATCTCTCTCTCTGGCCATAGAAAGTCTTTTCTTACCACAGCTGCCCGTTCTTCAGTTTCATCTGCAGCTCATCCCTGCCCCAGATCCCTGCACCAACATTGATCCAAGAGAGGAGATAATTGGCTGCGGCCCTTATAGCAGGAGGCTGAACTTCATGTTGCCTTGTTGCTTGTCTTACGGGAGGACAATGCCCCAGTTTTGATAACTGGGATCCAACCACATTCTAAACCCTAGTTCCCTTTATGTGCCCTTATTTTTAGAAATGAGCCTTTGTACCTGTTCCCAAGAGCCTGTTCCAAAAATTTGTTTAGTGACCCTGCTACTCTCTTAGGGTTAGAGAGGTGTACCTTATTCTTGCTGCCTTTTAACACTTTCCCCGAGCCCTAGTGCAATGGATAACTTACAGGTTTGCTACTTACCAATTGCAACTTTTTGGTATCTCCATCTCTTTGAGTCCTCTGTGTTGCCCCTACCTGTTTGTTGTCTGGATAGGAACCTGTCATTGCTGGTAATTCTTATCTGGAAGAACTAAACCTCTGCTGCCACTTGGGTCAGTTCTTTATTGACTGCTTCACCCAATGGGAAGTTCATGGGTTTTGTCCTGCTTATCTCTATGTGCTTTATTGGGCAGCCCAAGCCCCAACATTCCCTATCAGAGGCCCAAACCTTCTAAAGCAAAATCACTGAGCAGCTCTGAAGATATCAGTGTGCCCTTTATAAGCTCTAATCCTCAGTATTAATTCTTTTGCACTTAGCCCATGGCCAAGCTCTTGGCAGAACCATATGGTTGTTATTGAACTTCTATGTGCCAAACTCTGGAATATCAAAATGAGTCATATATTTTATCTGTCCTCAAGGAGTTCACAGTCTAGTAGGCAGCCAAATTTATAAATTGATCATTACAATACATGGTCAAAAGTATTATAATGAAGTAAAACATACTAAACGGAAGCAAAAAGCAGGAATACCTTAGGTTGAAAATGTGGAGGTAGGCTTCTTGAAAGAGGGGACACCTCTGAGTTCTATAGGATTGGCAAGTGACAACTGGTTAAAGAGAAGCAAAGGCACTTCCAAGTTGTATGCCCTAAGTGGGCGCCCTGCACTCTCGGGACCAGCACAGACTTTGCTATACAGCAAGAACAGCACATAGTTTGCTGTAGTGTGAGGGGGAAAGAGTACAAGACAAAGCGAGAGAAGTAGGTTGCCACTGGATTATGGTGTCAGGGAACTTGTATCTTACCCTGATTTTTAAAGTGGGGAATAAAAGTAATAGGGAGATCTGGTTTTGTTGGGGGTAATAGTAGAGGCAGAGAAAAGTTAAATGACTGACAAGGGATAAATGGTAAGACCCTTAGAGGTGATTTTAGTGTGGGGAAGTGTGTTTGAATTTGAGAGATTCAGAAATAGAACTGATAGGATTAGATATGAGGGCAGCAATAAGGTAAGATACCCAGATTCTTGGCTTAGGTGACTAGGTGGGTGGTGATTCTGCTGTCTGGGACAGGGACCACAGAAGGGACACATTTTCAATAGCAGACTGTGCTTGATGTTGCCAAATACACCCTCCCCCCCACCCCCACCAATTCTACTTTCCTTTTAGTAAGATAATCCTGCTCTCTGGATGATGCTATTGTCAACCTACCTTTATAGAAGTAAACTGCAGAAGAAAAAGAGTGTCTTACAGACCCTAGGAAAATGGTACAGTTAAACAAATATTGTACTAAAAAATTAAGCCCTCTATCATCTTTGTTAATTAGAAAACAGAGGTGAATGAAAACAGGATTTAAAGAAAACTTACTCCGTACACAAGTTCCCCAACCATGCCATTCCATATTTTAGTCTCAGGATCCCTTGCGCCATATTTTCCATCGCCAACAATGGACAGTTTATATTTAATCCTTACATGCTTGGCGATTTCATAGGCTAAGTCTACACAGTAGCCTTCATAGCGTTCATTTCCTTCCAGTTGTTCATGGTTCTTCTTGTACATCACATAAGGTGATTCCTTTGGGATCAGAAAGAAGAGAAAAAGTATTATTCCTACATAGTTTTCTAGGAGATGATAAATGTAACAGCAAAGGTTTTTTTTGTTTGTGGGTTGGGTTTTTTTTTTTCTTTTTTCTTTTTTGCCTATAGCTAGTGAGGTTTGGGGTATAGCAGGAATCTTTAAAGCGTTTACTTAACAAGTAGCAGAGCCTCCATTCATTGAACCACATATTCTTGGCAGTCCTTGAACTGATGATTATTGAAGTAGAGAAGGATGTATATACGTTTGAAGGTTTGACAGAAGAACCCGTCTTCCCCTGTGAAGTCTTTGATTAGGTCAAATTGGGCAGAGGCCTTCTGTTTGGTTACATGGCGGTGAACTGCCTTCGGTTTCCTTGGAATCTACCACCTAGGAACCACAACCGCACCACAGAGCCCTAGGGAAGCCCTGTGCTTTTTGTGAGGTCCGGTTTGTGATTTACTCATTGTTACATCCCCAGGGCCTGATACAGTGCCTACAGCCACTTGAGTATTTGATATATGTGTTCACAGGAAAGAAACTTTTAATCACAATTTCAGACCTAATGGCATATTTGTTTTAACTCTGGTTTATTATTAAACTTGGTTTAGTTGTGGTCTATTTGACAACACGGAGTAAAATGAGAACCAGTTTTTAGGGAGGGAGCACTAGAACTGATTGTGAAGGTGTATATACAACGCTTTCCAAAAGTGACTAAGTTCGGGAAATGTACGATATGTGAATTTTATATCAATAGAACTATTAAAAACCAACCAACCAACCTGATTTTTGATAAAACATTAAAAGACACCAGATAAGAATAATATTTCAGGGGGCAGAGGACAGGGCAAAAAAAAAAGAGAGAGAGTAATATTTCACATTTAAATAGTGCTTTTCATTTTACAGAAACGCTTCTTTGCATGGTGAATTGTACCTTGTGACAACAAATGGTTTTATAAGTAAAAACGAAACCAACCAAACATTGTTGTCTAATTGCTTTCCGCTCATGGCGACCCAAGGTGACAAAGTAGAACTGCTCTGTAATGTTTATAGAAGCAAATTGCCAGGCCTTTGTTCCACAGTGCAACTGGGTGGGTTCAAACTGCCAACCTTTAAGTTAGCAGCTAATCGGAAATCTCTTGTGCCACCCAGGGACCTATGACAAATAAGTCCAAACCAAAAAAAACCAAACCAATTACTATTGAGTCAACTCTGAATCTAGAGACCCTATACAGAGTCTCCTAAGCTGGATATATACTTTAGCAGCAAATAGCCTCATTTTTCTCCCAAAGAGTGGCTGGTGGATTTGAACCACTGACTTCATGGTTACCTTGAAGCAACAACAGGGCACCTATGATATAGGTGTAAAAATAATCTCCTACCTATGTACTGCCTATGTACCCATTGTACTGCAAACCACAATGTCAGCAGTTTGAAACCACTAGCCATTCCTCTTGAGAAAGATGTGATTTCCCACCCCCATGGACAGTCTTGGGGACCTTCAGCATCTTGGAGACCTTCAGCAGCAGTTCTGGTCTGTCCTAAAGGGTCGCTCTGAGTCAGAATTGGCTCGATGGCAGTGAGTTTGGCCTTTTATCATATAGGTAGGAGATTTTTATACCTATTCCATAAATATTTTAAAAGCCAACAACTTGAGGCTCAGAGATGTGACTTGTGCAGTTACATATGTTAGCAATACACTTAATATCAGAGTCCGAATCTTCTCTTGGTTGAAAGTCCTGGTGGTGCTGCAGGGGAAGCTATGGGCTTATATCTTCAAGGTTGGAGGTCCAAACCCATTAGCTGTTCCAAGGGAGAAAAATGATGCCATTTTTTCCTGTGAAGATTTAAAAAGCTGCAGAAACAGTTAAGGCTGGCCATTCAAACCTACCAGCCACTCAATAGGAGAAAGATGTGGCAGCTTACTTGAAGATTAATTACCTCCTTGGAAACCAAGCCCTTTGGAACAGTTTTTCTCTGTCCTATAGCGTCACCGTGAGTTGGAATTGACTCTCTGGCAATGGGTTTTGGTTTAATCTACAATTTCTACTATACAATGCTGCCTCTTCCAAAATAAAGAATGATATTTTGGGTTCATATGAATCATTTGTTCTATGGAGGGTAAAGTGGAGAACTAGGTGTCCACAAGATAGATTCTACTGGAATTAGTCCAAATTTGTATTCTTATCTAATAATGACATCACGGCAAGGTACTTTGAGAACTTTCTGGACTGCCCTGCTGGAAATGTTCACTGCTTGAGTGTGAGGTCTTCCTGATGACCTGAAATATGCTTTGGATCAAACAGCTGCCCGCCTGCTCGGCTCACACTTACCAGAATAGTTGTCACTACAATGGTGCGGTTCTCTGAGGAGGCGCTGTCATTGCTGACTTGCTGATCAGAGAAAGGCACAAACCTTTCATACTCATTCCAGTAGCCAGCCTAGAGAAAGCAGACATTTGACCTGGTTGCCTATTTTTCACTCAAAACAAAACAACCCTCCCCCCCACCAAATTGGCATGAAATGCAGCTGCTGTTGTAGAATGAGACCATAAGAATATATTTTTAGTAGCTTGAGGTTTATAAGGATGGATGCCCTGGCTCCCTCTGGCTTGTCACCCCTACCCAGACCCTAGTACACTGCGGTGCTTGTTCCTTCATGCTGGGGATTCGCAGCCAAATCTCACCCCTGTTGACATTTGGTAAAATCCTATCTGTAGGCTACTCGGACTTTTAAAAACTCTCCTGTAACAAAAACAAGCAGACAAAAAACCCAATAGAAAGTAAATGTTTAGAAAATAAATGATGGCAACATATGCTCAAATATCCTTGATAACAATTGACATGTAGATTGCTATAAGAGCTCTAAGAGCTCCAAATAAAATGGTCTTTTTAAAAAAACAAAACCAAAAATCTTCGCTTTGAACTATCATGGAGCTGGGAGCGAGTGTAAAATCAGTGAGTATCATGTAAGAATGACCCAAGATTTTTTACCTTCTGTGAGACTTTAGGAACTGGCTAGTTAATTCTTACTCCGTGCCTAACTCAATAGATAAGAAGCAAAGTAGTCCTTGTAATAAGATTCACCAGCACAGAAAGATATTTTGACTACAGTCCTTTCAATACAGTTAAGTAAGTGTAAAGATACCTACTTTCCAATTCTTTCACTAAAACCATATGTACCTCAGCAGCTTCTGTTTAAATAACAATATGCTGCAACATTTGTGAATCATTCCCCTTATTGTAGGAAGTTGTTAACTACTCCGGAGCCTTCCACTTTGATAGCACCAGCCTCAAAAGAAAATATAATCCTTTAAACAATGTGTAGCTGGAACACTTGGATCACAAAACAACGTCGTGCCTCCTAGCTGTGGTCTTCACGGAATGCACGGACACCAGTGATGGGTGGGGATTTGCTTCCCATGTGCTACCTAGCACTTCCTCTCTGGCAACTGAGGGCAGACTTTTTCTTGGATGATTATAGTTACTTACTTTGCGAGAGCCAGTGACTTTCATTTCATACACATCAATGGTATAATTTGTCCTCCGTCCGTAGGTGTCAAATTGGATATTTCCAGTCATTCCTTGTACTTGCACCTGGCAGAAAGGGAGAAGGCAGAATTTAAGAATAGCATGGCATGATTGCCTTCTAGGTCTCTAGGATGAGGACTCCTGACCCATCTTGGAATTGTGGGGAGTTTTGAACTTGAGTCATTGAGCGCTATCTACAGAACAAGTCTGTGAAGATTTTCATTTCCATCGCAGAGTTTTCTCGGTACATAGTTTAGTGATGAAGCTTTGAGTGGGGGTGATAGGCAGTTCTCTATGTTCCCATGAGTGCCTTGTGCCCACTTTGTGAAGGCCTAAAATGTCAATCATTAGTCCCTTTTCCAGGTTATTCCTTTAAGTAGGGCAAGGAAGTCTTCTACCCTGTGAACTGCTTTGGTGCTGGGGTGGTGTTTTATTTCAGTAGTCCAAATATATGAACATGGTGTTGTTCTAGTAACATGGGCTGTGGAGCTCCTGGGTTCATATCTAAGTTCCATCATGTTCCTTAATGTTTTTGTACCTCAGTGTCCTAATCTGTAAAATTACTATAGTACAGATCCCTGCGAAATGTTGGGACGGTTACAATATGTTTAGAAGAGTATCTGCTATGTAATAAATGGTGCTTATAACTCTAATAATATTAATTATTAATCAAGATGAATTTAGTTCTGTTTTGTTTTTGAGAGAGTTACACATTTGCTAGATACTATAGTAACAAGCATGAGCCCCCCACCCCCTTTTTGCCAATATAGAAACAAGTAGCAGAGAGGCAGGCTAGGGAGGGATAAATTGTAGAAGGATGAAATTTGTTAAGTGTAAGGGTTGTGTAGTGGGTACTTGGGCTGTGCAACATGATTGGCAGTTCGAACCACTAGCAACTCTGCAGGAGAAAAACTGGACTTTCTACTCCAGTAAACAGTAACAGTGTCAGAAACTCACAGGGGGTCACTATGAGTCAGCATGCTTCTTTTGCAGTGAGTTTGTTTTTGGGGGGAGTTTAAGGGATTAGGAGTATGGAACATTAGATAAGAAAGATGGATGCACTGAAAGACTTTGGACACTTTTTTGGGATACCAAATGCAGACCTCATGGATACCACAATTTTTCCTGGGTCTATACATTGTGTTTTCTTTGTAATCTCTCATGTACCCTAATAATTTTAGCTCTTATGTACATGAATGGTATTGCTAGAAAAATGGAATAAACGTTGCCTGTGTACTGAAATGAGCCAAGCACCACCTAACCATACTTTGTTGCTATTGGATGACTGTTATTAATAAACAGCATTTCTCTTAAAAAAAAACTTGCTGAGTGGAGCGATTTCTTTACTTACTGCACAGTGCAAGGGCATTTGATGAACGGACCTCTATAAATACAAGTCATTATTATTACCCATTTGTGTTGCTCAACTGGTGAATAAGGGTTAAGGACTTCACTTTAAACAAGCAAACAAACAAAATCCTGGCCTATGGGAACATGATTTATAAACTAGACAACAGTCTACGTATGTCCAAGAGATCCCAGAGCCCATGATTAGAATTTTTGGTATTCAGAAGCTGATTTGGGCTCCCATTCAGAGAAGTCTTTTTTTTTTCCCTCCTAATTCCCCAACTGTTTAAATTGTGATTTGAGAGGAAGTTTACAAACCAAAATGGCTTTCCATTCAAAAAATGTATACATCTTTTGATTGGTAACATTGATTGCAATCCTTATTAATGTAACAGGACTCTACTCCTTTCCTGTGTTTATCATTTCTGTTCATTCCATCCGATTCTTGATGTCTGTTGAGCTTTATCCCTGGGCACATGCTATCCATTTGTCTCATGTGGTTGGTTGTTCTAGGGCAGTGGTTCTCAACTTTCCTAATGCCGCGGCCCTTTCATACAGTTCCTCATGCTGTGGTGAATAACCCCCAACCATAACATTGTTTTTGTTGCTACTTCATCACTGTCAGTTTGCTACTGTTATGAATCTGGCGACCCCTGTGAAAGGGTCGTTCAACTCGCAAAGTGGTTGCGACCCACAGGTTGAGAACCGCTGTTCTAGGTAGTGCATACCTCCCTGGTGTTATTTTCACCCGTCTGCTGTTTGGCTGAAAGTTGTGCCATTGGAGTGGGCTTGGTTCCAGGCTTAAAGCGCAACTAAAGGCTCTAGTGTTGGGGGTTCCATCAGTCTCTATCAGAGCAGTAAGCCTAATTTTTACAGTTTACACTTTGAGTTATTTTTTGGTCCCATTCTGTCCCCTCTAAGACTTCCTATTGTGATCTCTTTCAGAGTGTTCAGCAGTAGAAGCCAGGCACCATCTAGTTCTGCTCCCAGGATGGGGGAAGTTGGGGTTCACACGGCCCATTAGTCCAATTGTTTCCCTGCATCTTTTATTTTCTTCGCTCTTCTTGTCCACAGACGGGGAGAGACTAATAGTTGCATCTTAGAGAGCCACTCAGGTTTTTAAGATCCTAGTTCTACATCACCAAAGTAAGATGTAGAACATTGTGTTATGAAGTATCTTTATGCCAACTGACCTGGATGTCCCGCTGTAGTACAGTCCTGGGCCCCAAAGCCCAGTGTTTCATTCTCTGAAGGTATTTGGTTATGGTTAATACATTTTCATAACTCTGCCCCCTATATGCTCTCCTATATTCAGGAATATAGTGGTAGCACATATAAATACATATGTAGATATATCCTCTGTCAAACCTATATAGAAGGGGCCTTCAAAAAGTTTGCAAGATAAAATTTCCCCCCAATTTTTCCTATTTGCCTTCTCTCTCCTGTTCAGCATGCAAGCATAACTATGTAGATTATTATTATTATGGTGATGGCAGGACTGTGCCTAAAATAGTATTTGTCTTTGTGCCTTTGACTCTTGTGCTGTTCCCCATGTCTTATGCATCCTTTTGTTCTGTCTTCCCCTTTGTTGTATATTGCCTTTCCCGTCACACAAGTTAATATGTGTCTACCCTTTAGTTAGTGATTTGAGAGATTTCTTTTTGATGACGTGGTTTGGTAGTGAATGACAGTGTTAGTTTTGATTTAACTATTTAACTCCTCTACAAAATTTAGATTATCTTGACGTGAGAGCCAGTCTTCTTCTGGGTTCTCAGCAACTAATACAGGGCCTGGGATAGAGCACGTGTTCAATAACGAGCAGACAAATTGCATCGACTTAGAATCTGTAGGGTTTTTCAGAAGCAGGTTTTTGCACAGTTTGCAGATGATGGGGAGAATGCTCACCTAATTAGGGACTGACTTTCAGACCTTCAAAAACATTTTCAAAAACATTAATTAGAATTTAAATGTTAGCTCATCTCATCTCATTTCCTCTTTGTATACTTACCATGGAGCCTGATACATTGTTATAGGTGTTTAGTCCATATTTATTGAACGGATGGTGTGCTTATCTATTCATTAAAACAGGTCCCTTATGAGCTCTATCAGACACTTCTTTGAAGAAAGACAAGGTTTTATTGAGCAACAACTAGGCGCTCATCACAATGGGGGAGTTTTTACATCACGCAATCTCATTTTTGATTAATTGCAATACGATGGGATTTCTCTGAATGTAGTGAAACGCGTGTTCCTTTAGACGAGGTGCTCTTGCAGGCTCCCTCAAGAATGAAGTTTTACTGAACATTCATCACAGGGTAGCTTCTACTTTTGGAAAAGAGCAATGCTTTCCAGCCTGTCTGGAGCAAAACAAAGGGGTTGGCCTTGCTGTAGAGGAAAGGCATCTTTTTTGTTGAGTGTTGGGTTCTTAGGGCCTCAGGAGCCTGTGTGTACTCTCCAGTGCCTGTGTGCAGTCATTTGCCTGGCTCACAGCCTGGGCTGTAGCAGAGAGTAAGACATGTAGAAACTTTTCTGTGCTATAGCAGGGATCGACTTCTTCCTAGCCATAGTATGTTTCTGTCCTCCGTTCTAGATGCCCATCTTCAATCTGAGGAAGGTGTGTGTGTGTGTGTGTGTGTGTGTGTGTCTGTGTGTGTGTGTGTGTGTGTGTGTGAAGAATGGGAGTCAGGGGGAACCTATCACAACCATCGATGTATAGCCCCTTCTGGCTCCCCAAGGGGGAACAACAACAGAATCGTGGGTGATGGGAGACAGTGTTTGGTGTAAGATATGAAAATAATAATGATTTATAATTTAAAAAGGGTTCATGAGGGAAGGAGGGTGGGGGAAGGAGGGGGAAAAAGAGGAGCTAATACCAAGGGCTCAAACATAAAGAAAATGCTTAGAAAATGATGAAAGCAACATATGTACCCATGTGCTTGATACAATTGATGTATGAATTGTTATAAGAGCTGTAAGAGCCCCCAATAAAATGAATAAACAAAATTTTAAAAAAAGAATGGGGAGTCCGTCCGAGGTATTGGCTCTTGCCCCTTAAGTCTTTGTTGGTGAAAACTACTTCTGATTCATCTCTGAGAGTTTTATATTTCACTCATCATTGTGCTTCACCTGACAATACCAATCTTGTAACTACTATGAAGGTTGGATTTAATTAACTGCTCTTCAGACTCATGCAGTGCTACCTCCATAAAATGACACTTAGGGCATTTGTTAGGTAACTGACATAATGACATAAAAATCTGCATGATGGGAGAATGAGCCATTTCTCTTTCTTGGAGAGAGATGCAGGGGTTACTAACCCCTTTTGATTGAATACTTCCAACTTGGCAAATTTAAGGCAGCAGCAAGAGAGCCAACTGCACAAATTGATGTGTGCCATGAAGCTGTTATAAATTCTTGTAACTGGGTTGTGCACAGAATTATCTTATCACCTATATCTTTGTTTATTTTACTTAAACACTACACATATCAAGATAATTAAATAAATAGAAATAAGAGATTCTCATACTCTCCAAGGCTCATTTTAATGTGTACACGATTGTGTGGCATAAAGCAAAAAATTCACAAAGAGCTCTTGTTTGGAAAGCTGTAATGAATGGGTGATGCTTCTCCAAGTATAAATAATGGAATCTGTTCAAAGGACACTGCTTGAAGCCTGAGATGATCTCTTTTTCAGTAAATACTAAAAATAAGTGACCTAATTGATTGCTTGTACCTTTCTTTAGGTGTTTTCTTTGGAGCATTTGGGGGGAAAGCCTCTTAAATAGGCCTAGAAATGTATCGTGCATTGCACCATCTACGCTTATGTACATTTTCTCTATGACAGCAGACTCAGTTCCATGGTCGATGCAGGTTAATATTTTGTCTCATGAGCCTGAAGATGCTGTTGTACTCATGAAAGGTTAATAGACAGCCCTGGAACTATTCATAGGATTTTCTTTTGTTTGTTTGTTTTGGTTTTGGTTTTCCATGTCTATCTAGACAAGACAGGCAGGATAAACAATCCCGAGGGGAAAAACAATGGGACCAACGGTTCTGGGGTGACATGGGAGAGGGGGGAGCAGGGGAAAGTTAGGGGGGAGCCAACAAACCCAGGCACAAGGGAACAACAAGTGATCTAAAAATCAGTGATGAGAAGGGTGTACGATGCCTGGTGGGGCTTGATTAAGTGCAATGTAGCTGAGAGGAATTACTGGGAGCTTAATGAAAATTGAACATGATAGTGGGACAGAAGGAAAGTAAAAGGAAATAGGGGAAAGAACTAGGAGGCAAAGGACATTTATTGAGGTATAAATACAGGCATGCACATAGTTCTATGTAAATATATGTTAAATAATAAGGTAACAGATGGGCATTGGGCATAGTCAAGTCCTCCCTCAATGCAAGAACACTTTGTTCTAATAACCTGGCATTCTGTGATGCTCACCTTCCTGACATGATCACTGAAGACAAAATGGGGTCATAAGCAAATGTGGTGAAGAAAGTTGTTGGTGCCTGGCTATCAAAAGATATAGCATCTGGGGGTCTTAAAGGCTTGAATATAAACAAGCACCCATCTAGTAGGGAAACAACAAAGCCTACATGGAAGAAGCACACCAGTCTGTGTGCTCATGAAGTGTCTATGGGATCAGGTATCAGGGATCAGAAAACAGAACAAACAATCATATAGATGCGAACGAGGTGGTGTGTGTGTGTGTGTGTGTGTGTGTGTGTGTGTGTGTGTAGTAGAGACCCAAAGCCCATCTGTAGGCAATTGGACATCCCCTCACAGAAGGGTCACAAGGAAGGTTGGTGCAGTAGAGCACCAACGAAACATATGACATTCCTTTAGTTCTTTAATGCTTCCTTCCCTCCCCTCACTATCTTGACCCCAAATCTACCTCACAAATCCGGCTAGACCAGAGCATGTACACTGGTACAGATAAGAGCCGGAATCCAGGACAGAGAAACCCCCCAGGACCAATAATGGGAGTAGTGATACCATGAGGGTAGGGGGAAGGTGGGGATGTGGGTGGGAAAGGCAGACTGATCATAATGATCAACGTATAACCGCCACCCCCCAAGGGGGGAAAACAACAGAAATGTGGTGAAGTGAGATGGTGGTTGGTGTAAGATATGAAAATAATAATAATAATAATATATAAATTATCAAGCATTCATGAGGGGAGGAAGATGGGGGAGGGAGGAAAAAAGTGAGGAGTTGATACCAAGGGCTCAAGTAGAAAGAAAATATGTTGAGAAGGATGATGGCAACATGTGTACAAATGTGCTTGACACACTGGATGCATGGATTGTTATAAGAGCTGTAAGAGCCCCCAATAAAATGATTAAAAAGAAGAAGAAAATGCTATTGTGTTTTCACAATCGAAGTTCAGCGATTACAATTTTTATTGCTAACTAATTAATTAATTAATTAAATGTAATAATTTTGTTGACATAACATTCATGTACCATAGAAGTCAATGTTTTAAATATATTTTAAAAAAATTGGAACCCCCTCATAACTTATAATAAAATAAAAATTAATAAATACATTTAAAAAGAGAGTTGGGTAGTCGTCACCACAATCAATTTTAGATCATTTCCTTTTTTCTTGTATCCATTATTGAGCTTCCCACTCCCCCACCCCCAACCTCTGCTGTCATAACCCTAAGGAGCTATTATTAATCTAGTTACTGTCTCTATAGATTTACCTATCTTCGATTTCATATAAAGAAAATCATATGTAAAACCCCTAGCAACAGCAACATAATAAAACACAAAAACCTGAATCTAAAAGAAAACAGAAAATAATAAAAACTAGAACAAGTTATAGGTGGGTCCAAACGGAAAACCAAGGGCAAGACGTTGAGTTTGAATCTACCTGTATCTGCAGTCATCTCCTTTCCAGCGCACGCTGTCTGAGGACCAGACTGTTCTCATCTCTCTGCTCAATGGTCCAAGGGAGTTCAGTGGAAGCGTCATCCATGTGAGGACTCTGAGAAGGGATTTGGGGCCTTCACTATAACCCATAGCTTTCTGCAGACCCATACGTTTGAGGGCACTGAGTTCCTTTTGCTACCTCCAATGCAGCACAGAACTACGAGCAAACACTCATTTACCTCAAATTTACCACTTTTCAAGCTTCATGGGAGAAGCTCTGGATTTCAGGTTTTCTAGATTTGGGTGGCTAATGATCTATACTCAATTCCTGTTCATTCTGATACTCTATAGACTTGGATGCGATTCTTTTTAGCATTTTCTTTCTTTAGAATTGAAATGTCATCTTTTTGTATCTTTATAAGTCTCCTTAACCCCAGTAATCCATTGTAGTCTTTACCATTTTCAGAGCTCTCTCGATATCAATTCCTTGACTCCAGGGCACAGCAGGATTTGCTAAGCAGTCACCAGCACTGCCTCTCCGGGATACATCGACTCGCTGCCTCCTCAGGTAGCGAAAGGCTTCTGCTATGACGAGTATTGCATCATGTGTCAATGCAGATGTATACTGAAAGGGATGCATGGAAAAGAGAAGATCATTACAAATGACATTCTCTCAAACTTGCCTTGTGCTTCATGACTTTGATTCAATTCTACCTCTTGTTCTATGAAGCCATTCTCCTAATTAGGTGAATTAAGAGATCTCTCTGGGCAAGCCTGACTTTGGATCATTCTGGAATGATTCCTCTTACTTCGTGTGTGCAAATGTTAAGATTATTAAGATCAAAAAGCACAAGAAAATTGCTCTCTCTTGCTCTCAATACTGTGCTTAGTATTGAGTGAGCGAATACTAAAAGGTCAGGTCTTTTATAGAGGAAGAAAAACTTGTGACATTAAAGGATGACATGTGTGGACTGGAGAAGAAACAGCATGTCCTAAAGCAAGATTGTATTACTGCCGTTTGTACTAGAAAATTTAAATCTGGTCTTTACTTAGGGGAAAATGGAAATAGCCAAGTTAGGCAGCTTGAAATTAATTTGGAGGGAAACATTAATCATTTCTGTCTGGACAAAGTTTCTGGCAAACTAGGACCCCTGGCCAGCAATAAATCAGCGTTTGTTTCCTTGGGGGGAACGAAACCAAAGTTGGTTTTCCATTGTAGAAAATTACAATTGTCATTGAGTTTTAAATCTGATAACGTTCACAATCCACAGGCAGCACTTTATGATGCTACTTCTTCCAGGCAAGAACACTTACTTTCTATTCCTGGGTATATTGATATACTTACTCTGTTAGGGTTTAAGTCAGTTGCTTAATACAAGGTGCTTAAAAAAGCTCATGGAAAATGACATTAAAAGATAATGGAATTTTTAAAACATCATTTTATTGGGGGCTTGTACAACTCTTATCACAATCCATAGATAATGGACTTTTGTAAGGAACTTTTGGAAGGCTTTTCTCACAAGGACCTTGCTTATCTGGAATTTGAAGTGCTGGGTGTCTTTTCACGAAATGACTCAATCAAGCCACTTTAAAAAGGTGGTTTCTGTTTTCCAGGAGGGGACACATAGTTGGTAGAATCCTACTGGCTTTAAAAACAACAAAACAAAGCAAAACATCCTGTGGAGGGGACTCTTTCTTTCTTTAGTATGTCCAAATACAATCGAAAAGCGAATAAGTACATGATCATCTTTACAACTATCAATGTGCTTTGCTGCTTTTCTCTCACATACTTTTCATTTCAAGAGGAAATCATCCACTATTACGTTAACAGGGGCACATGGTCTTTCATGAAGAAAGGTCTTTGTGTCTGCCCAACCTACAAGCCAAACGGTGGTCTTTTTTCCCAGCACTCTTAATGGAGTCCAAGCCATGCCAAAAGAGCTATTTAATTTTCTATTTCATTCAGCTTCTACTTACCAATTCTTGGGCATGAAGGAAAAAAAAACCCCAGAAGGCCACATTCATACAATATAAAATAAGTTAACCTTCAGGGTTTTAGTCTCCAGAGAATTTTATTTCCTAATAAAAAAGACTGTACATACAAATTTTAAAGTAGTCTTTTTGTCTCTTTGATACAGAGCAAGGGTCTAGAATGATAGTGTTAAGTAAAAGTAATCTGAAAGTTGTAACCATCTATTTAAATAGTCCATTTGCAGGGGTCCTCAAACTTTTTCAACAGGGGGCCAGTTCACTGTCCCTCAGACCCGTTGGAGGGCTGGATCATAGTTTTAAAAAAAACTATGAACAAATTCCTATGCACACTGCACATATCTTATTTTGAAGTAAAAAAAACAAACGGGGCAAAAACACCCTGGGGGCCGGAAAAATGTCCTCGGCTGGCCGCATGTGGCCCACGGGCCGTAGTTTGAAGACGCCTGGTTCATTGTGGTAAGTTATTGGAAAGATTTAATTCCGAAGTCTGAAGATTTTTTCCTCACATTCTGAGAATGGTGCATCGTAAAACGGTGAGTTCTCAATGAAGCCGCTGAAGCCGGCCTTGTCTTCCTTCTCAGTGCTCAGACTCCGCAGCTTTGAGCAAAGCATAAACTACTCTGCAGCGCCTCTCTTTTATTTTTCGCCTTGCCCCTTTTCTTGTGCCTCACTCACACAGTGCCAAGAGTCTTGTACTACCTGACGCCTTCTCAAACATTCACTGACTGAATTCTGTTTCTACCTGTGAGCTGCTGAATCAAAGATTTCCGTTAGAGACTATGTATCGATTTACCTCATAAAACAGTTGCATGACAAAGGCTTCATCAAGAAACCATGGCCATATTTATTGAAACAAACTAGGACTCTTGATCTGACCATGGGAAAAATGTTTTAAAATGGGTCTGTCCTGGAAAAATCTAACGTGTACATGCACCATAACCTCAGGACACTACTTTAGTAGTAAATCGCTAAAATGAATGAAAATGTTATATTCGCAATGGATGTACAAATGTGCTTTACACAACTGATGTATGTATGGATTGCGATAAGAGTTGTAGGAGCCCCCAATAAAATGATTTTAAAAAAAAGGAAATGTTATATTCAACTCACTCAAACAATTCTCTTTTTTCCGAACATATCAATTGTATGAAGTCAGGACCCACTTGTGTGGTGTTCTGAGGTGGCCCATAAAGGGTAGCCCTGCATCGGTGACCCAGAATGTAACACGCTTCTGGTTTTCCATCATTCTCTCTATTCTTGCCAAGGAGGTGTTGAGGATCAATATCTTGGACTGATAAGAAAGGAGTGTTGTTCCCCTCCCTGCCCCAGCTCTTTCAGTTTGAGGCGGTCTGGTTGCCTAGTGGTTATGTGTTGGGCTGCTAACTGCAAGGCCAGCAATTTGAAACCGCCCGCCCCTCTGCAGGACACAGACAAGGCCTTCGGCTCCCAGAAAGAGTTCGCCTCGGAACCCCCAGGAGCAGTTCTGCCAGGGTCGATGCTTCCAGTTTACCAGGAAGGAAGAATTAAAAGTCAGTCTCATATTGGAAAATGGGCTCTTACCGCAGTGCACTGAGGGAAGGAGTTACTTAAAAAATACATTAAGAGGATCCATTGTGTAACGCGAGTAACTTCCCCCTAATTTATCTGTTTTAATTCTCGATTTTTAAATAACAGGACTTCTATCCATAGGGGAACAAATTTGAAAAATGTGCACTTTAAGCATGGCTTTTTGCTTTTAATATTCCTAGCTTGATTTCAGGAAAATGAGCAACCTAGGTAATCTAATTATATTTAAAGATATTCTTGCAGGCAGGGAAACATTTCCATTCAATATATGTATAGGCAACACACATTCGGTATTAGAGCCTAATTCACTTGGGTGTACTGAGATTCATGGAACTTATTAACACAAAGCAATCATATAAATAATGTAAAATCTAATTTCCTGTTTCAGACTATCAATCTTCCTTATTTATACCCACTGCCCCCACCCTTTGCCCAGCTCAGGTTCTTATAATATCATAAATTGCTATGAGCAGATTACAAATGAAATTCATTTAAAAAATTAAGTTAACTTCTTCCCAAACACTGGATTGTAAAAGGCCTCACTTTCAATAGCTTAGTTATTTGGTGGTTTAGTTTCGAGAGTGCCTGTGTCCCTTGCAGTAGCATTTTTAGCATCCTGAAATCCCTTGTGAAGGAAGAGCACTGGATCACTGGCTGTAAACATAGAGAGGCTGTACTGAGATGCTTTGAGAAGTTGGCCTAAGGTTTCCACATGCCAGGGAACATTACCTTTAGTGGTGCATTCTTGGCTTCAGGGAATTCCCTCTCATCCAGCCTCACCCAGCGCTGTATGAACTGCTGAACCATCGGGTTTTCATTGTTGACAATCTGGAAGCCTGTAATGTTGGCTCCCCCATGCATGACTCTTTCCAGCAAAATATCAGTAAAACCCTGGAATGACATTAAGAGGGAATCAGGGTTGTGGGAAGCCACGCGCTCTTACTCACGGTATCTGCTGATTAGATGGAGCATTAAGGGAAAGATGAGAAGTTCCTTGCCCAAGACCCTCAGTAGCTATCCAGAAAAGCCTGGATGCAGGCCTGTTCCAAGCGCACACTCTTTTTAAAACTACAGGCCCAGCAGAGGAGCTACGGAATTGTCCGTATTAGTGCCCATGTGTTGATTTAGACTAGAAGCCACATGGATAGACATCAGTGCAAACTTCAAGAAAAAGCTTAGCTTTATTTTACTGACCTATATTCTTTCTTCATTGACTATAAAAGCAAGGCTGGAAAGTGTTTCTAAAAAGTCTGACCATGGCTAGAATTTATTTTTTAAAAACCTTTTCAACCCTCCAGATCAAACCCAGCAGATTGCTTCAAATTCTAGTGGTGAGTACTTTTAAAGTTTGTGATTTACTGAAATCCCAGAGAATACAGAGAAACAGATAAACTGGTAGCTTGATTGTACACGATGGTACAAACACCAAGGTATGTCTCACATGTGTCCACAAACAAGTCCTGAAATCTGCACAGCAGCTACTATTTTCTCTACCCCTACCCGCCACCCACTGCCTTCCGTTCTGGCTACTGTCTGGTGTCTTAGCCACCTAGGCTTAATGAAGGAGTTTCTCCAAGGTTCACACCAAAGCTATCTCCACCTGGGCACTGCCAGCTCCCCCTGGGCACTGATAGCTTCTAGAACACTTCAATCAGGGGTTGTTATGATTTCTTCTGGATATTTGTTTCCTGCTAATTGTACTTGGGTCTCCAATGGGCTAAAGCCACTACCATGTAAGCTCTTATGAAATG